AAGAGAAGTTGATTTTATTTTATTTTTTTTTTCTTGCGCAATTTACCGGACAGGGGGTTGGAACCTGCTACACGGTGTGAAACCCTCATGTTTCTTTTTTTTTTTTTTTTTTTTTTCGTTTGCATTAGTCACGGGCCTCACGAAACTTTGCTCTTAATAAAAAGTCTAGGTGTGGCTTCACTTCTATTTATATTGGGAATAAATAAGGGAGTGTTTGGTAACTAAGATAACAATATGAGAAATTAATTTTATTTTTATCTTTCTTCTTCCACAATTTGCCGGACATGGGGTTGGAACCTGCTACACGGTGCGGAACCCCTGATGTTTATGGTTTTTTTTTTTTTTTTCTCGTTTGCACTAGTCACGGGCCTCACGAAAACTTTGCTCTTAATAAAAAATGGAGAAATCCCCACTTGAACCTTCAACTTCCAAATTTAATCCTTGAATTCTCATCTTTCTAGCTCTTTGCATTTAAATCCTTTTCTTCTAATTCTCTTCATATAACACCAAACCTTCAATCATCACAAAATTTACACAACATAAATAAAATGAACAATTATGAAATTATTTATAGAAAAATATAACTCTTAAGGCCATAATTTTACAAATATCAATGGTTAAGCACACTTCAAATCTACATTTTTATACTTTTATCACAACCCCCAACTAGTTATTGCTAGTCTTTAGCAATTCAAGCGAGAATTAAGAAAGAAAGCATGCTGATTAGCTCAAATGGATATCTAGCAAGACTACCTAGGTATTTAGAAAAAAATCATAGTCGCTATCAAGATTACCTCAATTATAACTTCCAAAAAATGTATGTGTGAACTAAGCATAACTTTTATACCGCAAACCACAACATATATTGCCTTCAAAATTAATCAAAGTAAAAGCCTCAACTCCATATCTTCACGAGTTAATAATTATTTAAGGCAAAGGATTTCTCTCATGGAATTGGAAAGCAGCAAGTCACTCAAAGGCAAAGGCAAAATTTAACAGATAATCAAACAAACAAACATTGATTAAAAGATAGGCTAGTTAGTTATTCAAAATTCCACTACTCTTACTATAAACTTTCTTCAGGATTTTAATCAATCAAATATGAGAGCAATAAAAGTAGAGCATAGTGAGAAAAACAGCTCCCTCAAAAGAGAGTTTGTCTTCTAAATTAATGGAAGACTTTATTTGCTAGATTTTTTTTCTTTTTTTTTTCT